CATGTTTGTTTGGTCTGCACTTTACATTTTCTTCCATAAAGCTACTATAAAAAGGAGATAGAGAAAATATGTTCGAGTATATATAAAACGATTACTCTTAGACATTTTTGTGTACACTCGGTTATTAATTTATTTGTAAATATTTAATCAAAATAGAATACTAAAACCGCTTTCTATATCTGGAAAACAATTCCTTTATCAAAACTTTTTCATGACTGCCTGTAAAATAAGTACTTATTTCTTATTCTCTCATAAGTCAATCCACACATAAATCTTAGAATGTTCGTTTCTTCATATCCTATCATATTCTATCTCCTAGTAACCCAACACACAAACCACACAATACGAATTAGGTACCATTTGTTGTTCGTGTATGAGTGTGTATGTGTGCGTGTGTGAGTCTGTGAGTATACATTTGTGTGTTTTAATAATAAATTAAGATCTAGGCTCCTTTAAAGACTTTTAAAATTCTGGTTTGTGAAGGTATAGGTAAATTTCGTGAAGGGAAACCTGGACTTATTATTTCAAGTTATTAATTTGAAATCGCCAATACGCCTTGAGCAAGCGTGGTGATTAATTCTCTGACGTTTTCCATGCGAGATGAACTCTTTACTTCAGCAGTGGGCTCTGATAGTGTAATGATGATGATGACACACATTTAAAATGCATTTTATTTGAAAAGTTTTTTGTTACACAATAAATAATAAAAGAAAATATTTCTTAGTTAAGAATAAAAACTAAGTATATTTTTAAGATCGATGACTTATTTTATCTTATTTACGTAAAAAAAAAACAATCAATAGTCACGACTTCAATTCCATAAACAATTTATGATCGGAGCGCAAAATAACAGAGTAGGGTTAGGATCAAGTAGGAAAGTCCAAGATACGGATATATTGAAGTCTTTTATTCGGCAAGACGAGAACGATAAATACAAGATCCATGCAATGAGTTTAGAAATGCAGAACGATTGGTTAGACATAGGAGATTTTTGCATTCCACTAGCACTAAAATGGCGCACCCTAATTCATGACTGGTCGCCAGCCTTGCTAAAATTTTATCTCAATGCGTTCCAGATGACTCTCCCAGATCAGAGTAATTTAGTAAGATGGGGTAAAGGTACCGAAAAAACTTGCTATATCTGCGGAAAGGCAGTTGGAACTGCCAAGCATTTGCTGGTGGGATGTAAGGTTCTCCTGGACAGCGGTCAATACTCGCGTCGTCACGATAGGGTTTTAGAGATCATACGTGAAGCGGTTAGTCTTTCGGTAGCCAGAGCGCAAAGGGAAATAACCACAAACGAGCGATCAATAGGTTTTGTGAGAGAGGGCACCAGGGCTATAAAATCAAACGTCAAGCCTTACTCTATCCTTAAAGCGGCTTCGGATTGGACTATCATGATGGATACGTATGAGAAACAATACAAAATCCCCGAGGATATTTGTGCGTCGGCCTCCAGACCAGACATATTTCTATATTCGCGTATTTTAAAGCGCGTTGTGATGATAGAGCTTACGGTGCCTTGGGAAACCAACATCCCCAAAGACCATGCCATCAAGGTCAATAAGTATTACGAGCTCACTAACGAACTAACTCGAAATAGGTTCGTCGTTGATTTGTACGCGGTAGAGGTGGGAGCGAGAGGTATAACAGCTAAATCTCTCTATAACCTACTAAAAGACTTGGGCCTGTCCAGAACTAACATTAATTCATTCTTAGAACGTACGTCGAAGGCAGCCCTAGTAGGTTCTTTTCAAATTTGGTTAGGTAGGGAGAGGAACTTGGACAGTGGAGGTGAGCGTATAACGCGCGTTAGTTAAGGGGCCCCTTAAACCTACACCTGGGTCGCAAGTCCCAGGCACTGTTGAAGCTCCTCTCCCTGCAACGCGATGGACCCGGCACCCGCACGGTGAATCCATCGAATGCTAAGAGGTTTCGTCTCTTTTTGTGAAACATCTGAAGAACTTTTGCATCAACTCACATAATATAAATAATGTAAATAATGGTAAATAGTACCAAGTCTATATTTATTTGTAAAAAGAGGCCTTAATAAATTAATGAAAACATTCGCTATAATAAAATTCATCTCAATAAATAAAGTCATCAGTTCAATTACAATGTAAGCAACACTTGCAGGAAGTGAGACTTAAATGATTTTTTACATATTTTAAGCATATACGTCTAAATTAACATCATTTAACATGATTGTCGCAAGTAATCACGTAATAACCAATTAAAATGTATCACTGCTCTTATGCTTAGAATATATCGAACTGCAACTACTTACTGTGAACAATACTTTGAATATTATTTCCACATGGAGTATGTAAATATAATCAAATCTTAGGTTAAGGTAGAAACATATGTAACAAATTAAAATTCAAGATTTCCATGACTAGCTTTTGGGTAACTCGTGGCTCATATCAAAGTCAAGAAAATTAATAATAACACGTTATTTTTTGTTTACTACATACTATTTATATTTAATAGAAGATTATACAGGGTGACTGGTGAATTACTATCGATATTTGAGGATGTGATATTTGAAGATCCTATATGACAAAATAAAAATTAATATAACATAAATATTAATAAACTTCTAAGTAAAGTTAACCAAAAGTTATGTAATTAATTACGCATCGTGTGAACACCCTACAGATTAGGTATACACACACACACGCACGCGCGTGAGGCGGCGTGGTGTTGTATCAGCACGCCGCCGCACGCGTCCACACTTGGAACACTTGGAACGTGTCCACACTTTATTTATTTATACGGAAATTTGGTCAAAAATTAAGTACCTATTTTTTTTTTTCATAATTCGAATGAGAATCATGTACCGAGTATTCTCCTTAAATATTGATAGTAATTCACCAGTCACCCTGTATATATAAGTTTAAGAAAATATAAAAATTCTAAATAAAGAGAACGTTTAAGGAAGGCTATTATTGATGACATGCTCAAGCATGTCATGTCATGACTTTATACAGGAAAGAGATCGAAATTATTTGTGTAAATTTCTTTTTATAATTATGATCTATCTTAGGAAATTATGCACAATAGCAACATACAATATGAAAAATGTTTATGTTAAAAGCATATCTAGGAAGAAAACAAGTAGAGTGGAACTAGAAACAACCTGTTTTTGATTTCCAACAAAGAGAAGTTTGAGACAGGGGTATCCACCGACACCTCTAATTATATATTATAGCCAAGTTAGATTCCATAATAGATAAGATAAACTTGAAAGAGAGACAGATAAAAGTAAAAATAAAGTATTTAAGCTACCGTCTCTTTCTGGCGATTTTATATAGCAATTTTATATGGCGTAGATAGCAATCTTTGCTAAAAACGAATCTAACTAAAACTATATTATGAATAATTTTACTAATAGATATTATACTATAAAGATTAAACAGTACCACTAGCTGCCCATTTATTTTATTTTTTTTAAGCTTGAACTGAGCTTTTACTGTAAAAATGTCGGGGAAAATATTTTAAACCTAAATTCAAGCAGTTGGGTGTAAAAAAAAACTCAGACCAACAAATTTAAATTAACGTGATTCTATTACAGAACTTAAAATGGTATAATTTATAATATTTCATGTAAATAGTTAATTATTGCTATTAATGTACAAAAGGATGAAATCAAATGACCTATCAAATTTTGTGTTTTTCGAGCATTTTGAACATTAATTTGTTTCTGGCTATTAGTTTTAAAGAAAAACAAACTTTATTTTGGAAACTTTTACGAAACCTTCAAATTTTCTTACCGCTCGCTGCCTGAACCCGGTTTCTCAATTCGTCTAAAGGCGTCATTACCTTATTGAGACGCCCCGTATAAAAAAGTTCTAATGGATTAAGATAAATATGCACAATTTCATATCTGGCAACTGGCGAATCTCCACCTTATGTTTAGATACAGATCACAGTACCAATTTAAAAATAATTATTGGACAGGAATATAAAATGGGAAAGTAATAGGCGCATTTGATTTACCCGAAAAACTAATTCAGATATTTAAATATTGTAGAATATCACAATGACATATCTCTACATACCAACATGTTTATTCTGTTAATGTATGTAAAATTTTAAAATAAATATCCTCAAATCTTCCGTATGTAGAGTGCCAATGCAAAATTAGTCAGTCAGGTCAGTGGTGGCCTAGTGGTTAAGGGGCCTGACTCTCGTTGCCGAGGGCGCGGGTTCAAACCTGGCAAGTACCAATGTGATTTTTCGAAATCATATGTACTTTCTGAGAGTATTTAGACATCACTGACGTACGGTGAAGGAAAACATCGTGAGGAAACCTGGACTTATAGTTTCACAATTATAAGTTTGATATCACAAACCCGTCTTGAGCAAGCGTGTTGATTAATGCTCAAACCTTCTCCATGTGAGAAAGAGGCCTTGCTCAGCAGTGGGCTTCTGATAGGCTGATGACAATGCAAATTTTCCTAAGGAAACCTAAAGATTATATAACCGCAAATAAACTCTGATTGCAATATCATTTAGATAAAAGATTGATGCAAGAAATAATCATGCTTGTATTTAAGAAATTTTCATATATTTATTAACCTAACTTCACTTTGATTAGGTCAAGGGCAACATCTTGTTTTTATAGTAAAGTTATGGCTGTTATTCAGAAATTAAGATATGAGCCATATAAAAATAACATCAATATTCATTATTCCACTTTTTAACAGGAGACAACAAAATATATTTTGACTTAGAATCTAAATTGAAACACTTGGATAAAAAAAAATATATTAAATTATTTATTTATCATTCAAACATATACATTAGTATACTATAAAATATAATTAATAGTACTAAATTAGGTATAACATAATATATATTATTGTATATGTATATATTAAAAAACTATATATAATAACATTATATGTTACAATGAAAATAAAATATTTGTATATATAAAATCCTTTTCAAATATACATGATCTTTGTTGTGATTAATATTATCAATATTCGTCAAAACTACATTCTAATTAATGGTTTGATCTCCTTAATAGGTTTACATTTTGCATCGGCCCAGGGTAAGAAATCTTTCTTCACAGCGAGCACACATTCCAAAAGCATTATACAATCAGTTTCAGCCCTGTGAGCATTAACCGTCTCTTTACCTAACAAAGTCTTGTACAGACTCGACAAACTGTAAGACATCTTTTTATTATCAGTGCTTGATGAATTCAATTCAGAAAATGATGCAACGAGACTGTCAATTTTGTCCCAATCTTCATTACTTATATCAAGTTCTGGCCAATCGCATGTATCTTCTACATTATAATCGTAGGAAGTACATATTTTTTTCTTTTTACATTGCTCTATATTACTGTTTTTCATAACATGCCTAAATCCAGACAACGAATCAACACATAACAAATCTGTTGGCAGACTTTCATTGGCGTCCAAATACTCAGAGAGTAATATTTTGTAGTCAAATCTATTTCCATTGTGAGCTATAAGACATACAGGTTTTGGTAATTCTAAAAACGAATTTATAGTTCTTATTTTGTCTTTAAAAATGGCTTGATTCTTTAAACAGTGATTTGTTAAGCCAGTCAAGTTACAAACCTTCTCTGAAATATGTTTCTGGGGATTAAAGAGTAATGATAATTTATTTGTAGGCGGTAGAGCATTACATTCAGCGTTTTCTAAATCATTTCTAGACACTGCTACAAATGTAAGTTCAGTTATTTTGGTACGGTTTTTCTCTTGATACGGTAGTCCTGTCGTTTCTAAATCAAAGAACACAAATGTTTTTATAGCCATTGTTTTAACATTCTTTTTCACTGGATTCTTATATAAATTAAAAATAAAGCTTTTTAACCAAGGCTTTGAAACTTAGAATAATTTAGAAGAATGTAGAGTGTTTTTACGACTGACCGCCCTAAAGTAGTAACAAGTAATCGTTGTATAAACCGATATATGATACCTAACTAAAAATACTTGTTACTTCATGTTTGTTTTATTAAATAAATCGTACTCTATGGTGTTTGTGAATAATTTTGTAGTCTCTACCATAGATTAAATATTATGACTATACTGATTTCAAATTACAGGACAGGACTAACGATTATAGATGGCGTGTTTGTTATTTGCTCTTTCAAAAAATCTAAATGGATATATTTAAGTAATTTAATCAGTTAAATTTATAATGTTTTTTTTTCATAATTCTTAAGACAAATATATGATTAAGACTGCATATTATGATAAATATTAATATATTATCATCACAATTAAAGTGCTTATTAAAAAAATATTCATTTTTAAAAAGTCAATTATTCTTTTTTGTTAATTTCATACAAATATTTTCATGTAATATTATTAATTTTATCTTTTCATATATGTATTGTGTATTTGCATTAATTAATTTATTTGAAAAATTACAAGTGAACTGAATCAAATTGGGATAGTGACAATCTTTATGTACATTCTGCAAATAATAATTAAGAACAGGTGATAAAATTGTAAAATTCGCAAATCAAAGTAATATTTGTGAGTGTCGAAGCGATGGGAGCGATGAGATATATTTATTTTTTTAAATAATTTCCTTTAATTTTATATTTAATGTAAAAATATAAGTAATTAACATAATACAAGACAAACGACCACGCCTGGTCTATCGCACCTCTCCGGAAAGGCATAAAATATAATAAAACTTTCGCCATCAATCTTTCAGCTAAAGTACCACCTTTTCATATGATTCCGGCATTTCACAAACCTAAATAGGCTTTTATGGTATAAAATCAGAGTCCGGTAATCTGGTCAGAGTGGTAAAATATAAAAAATTATATGCATACAATTTTTGGTATAAAACCGGAGTAGAGTAGTAGTATCAAAGGCAATCAGGATTGCCATTGATACTACTGCAATAAGCTTAAGCATAAATCCCAGGGGACTAAACAGTTACAAACCAATTGAATAACTCAAGTCTTGAACAACGTACACGTATGAAAAACGTTTTCCAAAGATAAAAGAGTTCCAATATAGCGAAATTGAGTTGGTAACGTTAGATAGCGTCCTCTATCGGCAATTGAGTCAAATTTATATATAGATTGACTGACTACTGGTTATAGATAGCGCCACTTTTAATGATTATTTCTTATGTATGAGATTTTCATAACACTTACTTTTAAGTTTAATTTACCTATTATCAGAATTTTTATAATAATTTGTTTTAAAATATTTATGAGTTATGACTTTTATTTACTTTCCTCACCTTAAACTTACATAATTTATTAAGCTCCAATTATTAAGAAACCTAGTATGCATAACAGAACAGAATATGTATAATATTTATAATATAACAAAGAACAATTGTATATATTGAATATAATAAAATTTTAAATAAAAATAAAATAAAAAATTAAGCAATTCGAAATGCTAAATGAAATTACCAAGACAATATTTGTCATATAATGTCAACGTCACTCGGAAATATTGCCGACATGGAACATTTTATTTTTCAAGTTTCCAATTTCTTATTACGTATTCCTGACAGTATGGACTTAATGAGCTATTTAGTAACTGACTATGATAAACTGAGTTTTTGAGACTTGAAATAGATATGGCTCGAAGATATCGCGATGCCGCTGCTAAATTGCAGCAAAGTGTTCAAAAGCATCTACAAGGAATGAAAGAGTTGTCTTCTTCTGAAGATGATGAACCCTTCGAACCAACTGTACTGGATGGAGTATTTCAAAGCTACTGTAAAGGCGGCGGTGATACTCAGTTACTCAACAGAACTAAGAACCTTCTAGAAGAAGCTATTAGCGGTCGATCAATCACTTGCTTGATTTGTATTAGTTCAATTAAACGAGCCGATGCTATCTGGACGTGTGAACATTGTTACTCTTACTTCCATTTATCCTGCATACAGAAATGGGCTAATGATAGCATCAGTTTACGCAGCGAAGAAAATCAAGGACCTGTTACAGTTTTGTTACCCAAGAAAGTGGAGTGGTGCTGTCCAAAATGCAGATACTCTTATAATAAACAACAAATACCTCACAAGTATCGTTGTTATTGTGGTAAAACTGATGACCCTCCATTACACCCCTGGTTAATACCTCATACATGTGGCGAGGTGTGTGGAAAATTCTTATCAACTGGAAATAACTGTAAACATAAATGTCTTCTGCTTTGCCATCCCGGCCCTTGCCCACCATGTCCACAAACCGTGAATGGTGCATGTTACTGTGGGAAAGAAGTGAAACGAGTTAGATGCAGTGCAGGCAAATGGTCCTGCAGGCAACTATGTAAGAAGATATTACCTTGTAATACTCATAAATGTGAAATAGAATGCCATGATGGCGAGTGCCCGCAATGCAATTATACAAGCTTGCAAAGTTGTCAATGCGGTGCTGAGAAGGCAAAGCGCCCATGTGACGACTTAGTATGGCATTGTGAGAAACAGTGTAACAAACCATTTGCTTGCGGATTCCATGTGTGTGAGAAAGTTTGCCATTCAAGTGATTGCGGAGATTGTCCGAATTCTGGAGTAAAATCCTGCCCCTGTGGTGCTAACCAAAGATTTATACAATGTCCTGATACCATTGAAACATGTGTCAGTACATGTAATAAGAAGCACGAAAATTGTGAGCACAACTGTCCAAATAAATGCCACAAAGGTCCATGCCCACCTTGCCAAGTTGTAATTGAGAAGAAATGCCAGTGTTCAACCCATACAAGGTCTTTACCTTGTTACAAAGAATTTAAATGTGAAACTAAATGTAGAGGCATTAGGCCATGTGGTAAACATGGTTGCGGCAGGAAATGCTGCAACATGAACTGTCCACCATGTGAAAAGATATGTGACAAACCTTTGCAGTGCGGTCGTCATAAATGTACAACAGTTTGTCACCATGGCCCTTGCTATCCTTGTCCACTTGAATCAAAAGTGTACTGTCGTTGTAAAGAAACATACATTACTGTACCATGTGGTAGAGAAAGGTATACAAAACCACCAAAATGTAGTCTACCATGTAAAATTAAATATAAATGTGGGCATGCCGATGAAAACAAACATAAATGCCACTTTGGAGACTGTCCGCCGTGTAAGGCAATTTGTAATAAACAGTACGAGAAATGTGACCACAAGTGTGTTGCTACTTGTCATGCGAATGTTTCAGTTGTGTTTAAGCAAGTTGAAAAACCAGCAACTCCTTGGGAGGTACAGCCTCCGAAGACGAAAATAGTAGCTCTGAAATGTCCTCCCTGTGAGACTCCGGTAATGGTAACATGCTTTGGAGAGCATGAAACTGATAGCCAACCGTGTCATACTGCTTCAAGAAAGCCGTGTGGAAGACAGTGTGGTCGACCATTAGCATGTGGAAACCACAAATGTGAATTATCCTGTCATTTATATGAGTCCGATGAAGATTATCCTAATGTACCGTATACATGCAAACCATGTAATCGAGAGTGTTTAATAATCCGTCCACCTAAATGTACGCACAAGTGTGCAAAACAGGGCTGTCATCCAGGACCTTGCCCGCCATGTAATATTCTAGAAAGAATATCTTGTCATTGTGGTGTAACTGATATATATGTGAGATGTCGTGAATTACAGAGCGCTACAGAGGAAATGCTAAGTTGCAAACAGCAATGCCCTAAAAGCCTCGAATGTGGCCATAGATGTAAAAACCTGTGCCATTCAGGTATCTGTGGCCAGAATCAAGTATGCAACAAGAAGACTAAAATACACTGTCCTTGCGGCAATTTAAAGAAAGAAGCAGCTTGCAAAGCCGTTAGGAATTCAGAGGTTCAAGTCGTTTGTGATGAAAGTTGTGAAGCTAAAAAAATTGCGGCCCAATTAGAAAAAGAGAAAGAGGCGAAAAGACTCAAAGAATTAGAAGAAGAACGGAATCGTAGAGAGTTAGAAGAATACACTTGGAAATTAAGCGGCAAAAAGAAGAAATATAAGGAGAAAAAGATTGTTGTTGTTACCGATAACAGAAACTGGTTTCAGAAATATTGGTTTCCTATTTTGTGTGTTCTGATTGGTGTGTTGTCTGCTATTTATTATATATTCAATGTTTGATCAACTTTGTATACACTACACAATGTATAACTAAGCAGTTTTTTTATTAAATTATTGCAATAAATGTTTTATTATTTCATATAAACCTTATGATAGTAAGAATTTATTTAGTCACTTTTTATATTGATAGTAAATAAATATAATTTTAATGTTTATGAGAAAGTAAAATACAACTTAATAGTAAATAATTATATCATCTCTCTGTCTACAGGAAAATTATTCATAGAAATATAAATACAGAAAATTTAAATGAGAAATGTATTTTCTCTAGATCAGTCCACAGCTTGTAGAAGAATAAATATATTCAAAAAGACTTTAAAAACGAATTTATGATTGCGTATTTGATTATATAGTAATTTAACTAATTATTCTTACACTGATTGACTCATAACTTTTAACAAAACTAATATGTTTGGAATGTGAATGATGCTTCTAATTGATTTTTATTATGTTGGAGATTCAGAAACATTCTGAAAATAAATTAAGGTGGTAAGCATCCTAATGATAATTTATATAATTATAGTATTTTACTGTGATACAAAAATTTGGTTATGTAGTTAACATATTAATTTTGAATAATAAAAGTTTAAATATTATAAATTTGAACATATACCTATCAACAACATTTAAAATTTAGTCTTGTCAAATATATCTAACCAAATAGACATAGTATATAAGACATTAAGTTTACCTATACATAAATATGTCTCTATAGTATACAAAATATTTTACTGTATCAGTATGTAATACATGAAATGTATCAGGATTTGAAACCAGACATTCCAAATCTTTAGCAGAAGAGTGATGCTCGGCGATACAAAACATTTGATCTTTATTACCAATTTACCTAAGAACCACTGAAGGAAAACTTGTTAACAAATTAATGAAAACTAAATGAGTCTAGACATTGATTTCAAACTTCTAGTTTCGACAGTAATAAGTGTTTTCAACTCATTGTAGAATACTTAAACCCAAGACAACATCACACAATGAATCAAGCACACCACAGAACACAGATGTACACTTCTAGAAGAAGCTAGAATCACCTATGTGTATTTAATACGAGAACCAAATGTTTAATTTATTTTCTTGTTTCATCATGACTAATTTTTATTTTTTATTAGTTTATACTAATAATTCGGATGAAACACTAAATACAATTGTAAATTTTTAAACGGTTTTATTTACTAATACATATTGGCTTTACATTTCATCTAGCTGTTAAATGATAAATGGAATTTGAGCCTAACATATTTGAGTTAGTTTTTAAACTTAGTGTGTATTTTATTCTTATTTGTTGATTTTTCGTTATTCCTCATTTTACAAGTGGTTTGACATTTTCAGTATATTGTAAGGATCTCTAATGTCATATAGTTAATTTTTATTTTGACAAGAAAACAAACCGTACCAAGGTATAGTGCATACCTATACACTTTCAAATATTTCATAAACGTATAGCCTTAAAGTGAAGTGAGCAATTACGAGTTACGTAAGCCTCCGGAAAAATGTTTTCATTCGGTAAGTCCAAGTAGTAGTGGAATTTAAAAAAACTGGATTTCAAACATAATATACTGTAATTACAATATGAACATTGACATTTCATAGCATGCGTCATATTTTTAATTCATATTTCCTTAGACAACGTTCGGAATTCAGATACATTTAATAAAGTATTGTAATAAAATAAATTAATACGTTTGAGTGGTTTTAGAGCTATTACTAATTTATATGAATGATTCTTTATAGTTTTCAAACAATTTTTCCATCTTTGAAAAGAGTAATACATAAATATAAATATTCAATTATTTTACATAAAAGTAAAACAGACTTCTGGTTCGCAGGTTTGCTTGTATTGACGGGGATATTATGGGGTTGTACGAACCCATTCATTAGACAAGGCACAAAAGGTTTAAGGAAAGTTTGTGCCAAAACAAGATTGGGTCAAGCTTACGCAGAGATTATTTTTCTCTTAGGGAATTGGCGGGTATTTTCTTTTTATTAAGATAGTTAGTCTAATTTGTATTAAATATTCTTATTATTTAAAGCTTGACAATTATCTTCCCAAAGTTTTACCAAATTGGACTTTTTTTATTCAGTACGTGGTACCCTGGTTAATTAACCAATGCGGTTCGTTGGTGTATTTATCGGCTGTGCAGCGTGTGCCTTTGTCTCTTGCTGTGCCTACCGCCAACAGCCTTGCGTTCGCTTTCACAGCACTAACGGGAGCAAGTCTGGGTATTGAAGAGCCTTTGGATTTCGGTAAGACATGATAATTAAATAAGTGAGTGTTTCCATTCTTAAATGATTTTTGCGTTATAGAAATTGCTAATTCGGGCTTAGTGTTTGAAAATTTGTTTATTGCCTAAGTCAGCAATCTATTTGCCTATTTTAATTTTCACATTTCTTATTTCAGTGTCCATAACGGGAATAGTATTAATTGGTGTTGGAACTGCATTATGTTGTTGGGATAAAGTGGATTAATAAATATTATTGTTTAATATCTCTATTTTATTTAACATCATAACCTTTACAGTAAAAGTTGCCAGATTCAGCGCAGTTAATCTCAAATAAATAAAAAGCTGAAAGAGTATTAGCACTTTCGCCTACATTCCAAAATACAGATGTCCTTTTACGTAATATTGAAGACACTCTCTAATTAATTAAAATCTAATATCATCGCAAATTTAATAAATCTAAAAATTGATCACATAAAAAAGATAAATTTCCTATATTTTTTGTTAAAAGAAACAGAAGCCAAAATGTTGCAATAAAATTAGACATATACATTAGGCTATTAAATATGTAGTTTTTCTTTTCTGAATCCTATTGTCCATTTCTCTCATAAAATATATTATTATCGAATTGCTAAAATTTAAGGAATTCAAAGCTAATTTTCTTTGAATGAGAAAAAATCAAACATTTAAGCTTTAACTTAGTATGTCATAATAAGTCATAACAAAATAGTATTGTGTATTATTAATAATTTTATAAGGTTCTGAAGACACCGGTAAAAACAATTTACATGCATACATCATGGGCTTAAGTTTTATAGTCTAAGAATTAATTTTTGTTATGTTATAAAACGGGTGCAATTCAAATATTCTCAACATCATTTTGAAAGGAACCTATGAGATTTCATATTTTTGTTATTTGAAAAATATGTCGGAAATAAAGCTATGTAGAATTTGTTTACAAACAGAAACTAAGCTTTACAACGTGCACCAATACCAACTGAAAACGTATTATGATGAAGTCATTAATAATATTGTAAGTTGCTTTTAGCTTAAAATATTAAGTAAAAATGTCATTTTTATAATATAATATTGTTTCTAGAACTCCGATATGGACGATCTACCCCAATACTTCTGTTTCGAATGTGCATACTTGCTCTATAAGTATCACAAGTTCAAGGAAAAATGTAGTATTGGTCATAAAATACTTAAAGAGATGTCGTGTCGAGGCGCAGTAAGTAAAATTATTATATAATGTACATGATAAAAGCCACAATCTATTCTCTAAAACTTTACAGATAACCAACAACACAATAAACAATACATATAAATTTAATTCAAATATGAAACCATCGTTAGAAATAGTGAATGTATTCGAAATTAACTATACATACAAAGAGGAACCCAAATATGAAGAAATTCATACAAAAGTTGAGAACATTGATAATGAAATGGATAGTAATTTATATGCTGAAGAAATTGAGAATATACATACAAACGATAAATATATTCATTCGCTTAACACAGAAGATGAAATTAATTTATATGAACATAAGAATACAGATGATACAAAAACATTACATATATATGATGAAAATGATAGTAAAAATGGAATATTAAGACATAAGATCTCATTGGATGAACCTTTTTGGAAGAAACATGAAATGTCTGAAGAAGAAGCAGTTGAGGCAAGTTTCTTGTAAAAAAAAATAATATTTGTAATCTATATTTAAAAAAGGATTTTAGTACTGTTTTAATAAAATAAGATGGTGTTCTATAATAGCTGTGACAATAATGATTTTACTTTTAAATAAATATTTTATGTAGAAAAAATAAAAAAGTTTATTAATACATTAATACATTAACTTAATTATGATGCTTATTAAACTTTTAATGATATATTTGTGTTCCCAGCAATTCAAAGCCAGAGCAGAGAATGATAAATACAAAAGCGCACCGTTCAAGTGTACAGATTGCTTTAAAGGTTTCTCAAAAGAGAATATATTAAAGAGACATAAGATCTTGAGGCATAATGAGGTAAGTTTAATACAAATATTTGAAATATATATCCCTACTAATATTATAAATGCGAAAGTAAGTCCGTCTGTTACACTTTCACGGCTAAACCACTGAACTGACAGTGGCGGCGTAAGGCGTGGGCGACGTGGGCCACCGCCTACGGCCTCGCGGTACAAGGGGCCTCGCGCCTCAAAAATTTTAGAGAATTAAAAAAAAAAATCTTCTTCTTCCTAGGAATTTCCCAGCTATAGCCAGGGTCTGCCTCACATGTTGTGATTAGTTTTGGCTATTAGCTTTTACTACCGGTCGTCTGCTTGACATCAACCCTCTTTGGGAATTAGAATTAATTAAACCTATTTTGATAAGAATAGTGTGTTCAATGTTTTAATAATATTTAGCGAATAAATAGATAATGTTTAAGTATATTGGTTGCCCCCGAACAGTAACGTTTTTTAATTGTTTTTGTTTTCTTTGTGATTTGTAATACACCAGTACCTGTACTCGTCTATTTTACATAAAGTAACAAATATTTAATTGGTGATAAGTACGTAACGCAGTAATTACTTGTCTATAAAATAGGCTTTATAATATCCTTTGAAGGAAACCAAAGCTTTAAGTGTAAAAAAAACATCGACGTTTAAGTTTTTAAAACTAGCTGGTAGTAAGAGCTTCAGGTTTCCATAGAATAGGGCCTCGCGAAATCTGTCGTGCCCATATCAAATTTAGGTCTTGCCCCGCCACTGTGAACTGATTTTAATGAAATTTGGTACAGAGATAGAATGGACCTCGAGAAAGAACATAAGATAGTTTTTATGCCAGAGTTTTGAAAGGTTCTCTTGGAAACGCGAAATAACCGAACTCCACGTGGGCGAAGCTACGGGCGGAAAGCTAGTATACATATATAATTAAAAAGTAGCGATTACAGAGGCTCAAGGCTTTAGAGAAATGGGGTTTGATCTTGGCAAGTACCAATGTGATCTTTCAGAGTCTTGACCAATGTACTTTCTAAGAGTATTTAGACACCACTGATAGACGGTGAAGGAAAACATCGTGAGGAAACCTGGACTTATAGTTTCACAATTATAAGTTTGAAATCCCCAACCCGTGTTGAGCAAGCGTGGTGATTAATGCTCAAACCTTCTCCATGTGAGAAGAGGCCTATTCTCAGCAGTGGGCCCTGATAGGCTGATGACAAAAAACAATTACTGAATATATTATTGTTTTATTATAGTTTCAAATTATGTTTTCCAGATATATAAAATAGAGTGTCCGTTTTGTCACATGCGTTTCAAATTAAATTGTTTCATGCAGAAACATTTGAGAAGCCATTACACTAAATATGAATGCAGACGGTGCAATGTTGTTTATCCATTGGAGTAAGTTATTATACTCATTACTTTATAAATTTAATTATAAAAACAATATTTGTTTAGAATTTTAAATTGTGGGTATATATATTCTCATATATAACAGACAGAATGTTAAATAAAATTAAATAGTATAATATTTTTATATGACAGAGAAAACATTTTAATAGTCTCAATATGTGTTTTCTGACATGTAGACATTAATTCCTCTATAAAGACCACAGGTGTTGCTTGTCATCTTTACCATTAGTACAACTTCATATAATCTTTCTAAATACAATCAGTTTTAACGTTTTTGTGTAATAAATATTTGTTAGTTCTTTGTATCGCTGCCAACTTGATTTTTTAATTAAATCTTTCGTAGTTATTTGTTTCCCTGTCAGTTGATCTTTTTAATAATGAAATGCATTGTATTAAGTGCAAGTAATATTCTTGTAACAATGTAGTGTATCATGTGTGTGTGAGTGTACATTGATTCACACACACATGCAGCATATCCACTTATTACATTTATAGTAGTAGTATGGCTGTGAACAATATTATATGTTTACCAATATTTATCTTCCAGAGGTTCAGCTTTATTCCATGAGGAGTTCCACAGCGGAGTCATTAGGACATGCAGACACTGCAACGAAGAGTTCCGGTAGGCTATATTAGTATATATATACTAATATAGAATGCGTTGTGAGCTATTTTTTCGGTCTTTGAGCGTAATATATATATATATATAAAGAGACCGAAAAAAATGCTCACAACGCGTTCTAGTCAGAATAAAACATCCACATCGCGAAATACGTGTCCTTGCTCTTATGAAAACACTCACGACGTGTAGTGGCGATCACGGAAAGACCGAATTGGGAAATTCGTGTCATGGCTTACATGCTATTCGATCATAACACGTTCTTACAATGAAGAAAAGCCATGAATCTGAGTATTCATTTGTTTAACAAAATCACGACAGACAAGTTGTAACTCATTAATAGCAATCAAATACATTATTTTTTCATAATAATATTAATTTCTAATATATTATTGTTTATTGGTGATCAATAAACATTTTATTACTTGAAATAATTTTAATTGTCATTAAAATGTAAATTATTATATGTTTCAGTCACTCGTCAACATATTATTCACATCTCCGAACACATAAGAGTGAGTTCGTATGTAGTGTGTGTGGGTCGTCATTCGTGAGTGAGGCTGGTCTACATCAACATAAGCGGATCAAACATTGCGACAGTGTCGTGAGTATACACATATTAACTAATATTTACCCGCGAATTTGTTTAATATATTATATATTCTTCGTCTGCCTGGCAATTTCCCAGCTGCAGCCAGGGTCTGCTTACATATTGTGAATAGTTTTGGCTAATTGTTTTTACGACCGGCCCTTTAATATATTTTACCAACTATTAGCGACATCTATCGTCGTGTCAATGACTTCATACTATATAACTGAATTACATATAATGTAAATAATATAGAATAATGGATTTAATATACAATCCTATATGTTATTCTAATGTCTAAGTTATATCATTGAAAAGTTTCATCAAATTTCGTTTAGTATGTTTTGAGAAAATAACAAATATCAATGCAAACTATCCTCACAAAAATTTGCATTTATATAAAGAATTATTTTTGTTACTCTTTAAGAAAACAGTGAATGTGTTTGAGATGCAGTTTCAGTCTTGAAATAAAATTGTGTTAAGAAACCCAATTTTGATTGGTTACATAAAATTTGGCACAAAAATACTAGTCATAAGTATCTTATAAACTAATTACTATGACCATATTAAAATTAAAGCAAGCTAGTACTAAAATTATTGAATATATATAATGTGTACTGTAATGCAAGCATGAGACGAAACCTCTCATCATTCAATGTATTCACCGTGAGGGTATCTGGTTCATCATTGTAGTGAGAGGAGCTTCAACAGTGACTGTGACTTGTGACCCAGGTGTAGGTTTAAGAGGCCACTATCTAACGCGTTAAATGCTCACCTCCACTGTCCAAGCTCCTCTCTCTACTTAACCAAATTTGTAAATAACTTATTAGTTATTTTTATTTTCAAGGAATCTCCTGATGATGAAGAAATGAATACTTTCTGCACCAAATGTGATATCAGCTTTGAAAGCAGACCGGCCTATGATGAACACTTACTGCACTCTATAAAACATATTGAAGACATTGAGTTAGTATCCCTACTAATATTATAAATGCGAAAGTAACTCTGTCTGTCTGTCTGTTACGCTTTCACGCCTAAACCACTGAACTGATTTTAATGAAATTTGGTATAGATATAGAGTTGACCTTGAAAAAGAACATAGGATAGTTTTTATCCCAGACTTTTGAAAGGTTCTCTTGGAAACGCTATATAAACGATCTCCACGCAGGCGAAGTTGCGGGCGGAAAGCTATATAATATATAACTATTTTGGATTTTACTGATATATATAATATATATGTATGTTTTTTGTTACAGGAATGATAATGAAGTTGTTTTAGACAAACGGAAGAAGGTTTTGGGAAAGAGAATCAAAGAAAAGGTTGGTTCATAAAGATAACAATAGCAATAAATGAATACACTGTATATAATATGTTAATTACATATATTGTAGAAATTCATATACATATTTATTAATTTTCAAATTCATAATTAATGCATGTTTGTTTTGAACTGAAGTCAATGATTTTTTAAATTAAATTTAATGAATAACAACTGGAGTTTATTAAGTTATTGTATAAATGAAGCTTTATTTATTATTTAATGGAATTTATCAACAATTTTCAGATAACCGGCCAACTGTCCAAGTAAGTGTTGTGATATTTAATATATTCTATATAATATATTGAAACTTATTATAATGATGCATGGTGCATACAGGAAATCAAGGAATATGACAAAGACAGATAGAAAGAGTTGTAAGAAAAGAAGACAACCGAGGAAACCAACGACATGCCATCAGGTTAGTGGTGACAACAAGACATTATTCATTATTCACTTTATACTAGGCACATGTATTAAAAGTCAGTGGTGTCCTAGTGGTTAAAAGGCCCGCCTCTCATGCTCGAGGGCGCGGGTTCGATCCTGGCCCAGGCAAGTACCAATGTGATACTTTATAAGAGTATTTAGACATCACCGATTAATGCATTCCCAAAGAGAGATGATGACGTAACGCAACCCGAGTAACCATTTTAAACATAAATATAACACAAACATGTTTACTATTACTATTTTACATAGACAGTTAATAATATTTAATTAATTGATTCCCAAAGAGGGTTGATGTCAGGCAGGCGGCCGGTCGTAAAAACAATTAGCCGAAACTATTCACAACATGTAAGGCAGACCCTGGCTAAAACTGGGAAACTGCCAGGTAGAAGAAGAAGACTAGGCACATGTATATTTTACATATGTGCCTAGTATAAATATGTACTATGCCGTTTGATTTTATTATCCAGTACAGTAATAGACATTCAATTAAACAGACTCTTTCTATTTCAGTCTTATATATAGACAGATGAAACTAATATTTTTTATGGATTATACTACTCGTATTTTATTATTTTTAAAACAACATACTCCCGACGTTTTGATTACTTTTCAGCAACCTTGATCACGGTATAATCCAAAAATATCAGTTTCATTTGAATCAATACTTGTCTTTCATCACATTATAGATTTATTGAATCTTTATTATAATTAAAACTCTATTAATTTCTATCATCGTAGTGTGGTAAACATTTCGAGACCCAGGCCGCGTGTATGAAGCATCACGTGTCTGAACATCCGAGGACCTCCTTCACCGCGCCGCATCAGAGGCATATATGTGAGATATGTGGAGCCTCACTCGCGGTGAGGATACAATACATAATAATATACAGGGTGACTGGTGAATTACTATCGATATTTGAGGACGTGGTAATTGACGGTCATATATGACAAAATAAAAATTAATATAACATAAATATTAATAAACTTCTAAGTAAAGTTAACCAAAAGTTGTGTAATTAATTACGCATCGTATGAACACCCTATAGATTAGGTATACACACACACACACACTCGCGCGCGGCGGCGTGTTGTTGTATCAGCACGCTGCCGCACGCGTCCACACTTGGAACACTTGGAACGTGTACACACTTTATTTATTTATACGGAAATTTGGTCAAAAATTAAGTGCCTATTTTTTTTACATAATTCGAATGAGAATCATGTACCGAGTATTCTCCTTAAATATTGATAGTAATTTACCAGTCACCCTGTATATTATTGCAAAGATATATTTGTATTGAAAGTAAAAAAATAGAGTTAATAAGAAAATAGTCTTTATAATTTGAAATAAATAATATATATTTTACTATAATATAATAAGTTACTGTTTATTATCAACTACCTTTCCGCCCGCAGCTTCGCCCGCGTGGAATTCGGTTATATCGCGTTTCTAAGAGAACCTTTCAAAAGTCTGGGATAAAAACTGTCCTATGTTCTTTCTCAAGGTCAACTCTATGTCTGTACCAAATTTAATTAAAATCATTTCAGTGGTTTAAGCGTGAAAGCGTAACAGACAGACAGACAGAGTTACTTTCGTATTTATAATATTAGTATTATCAATATGAATTTTAGTTAATATATGAAAGTTAATTACACTATTTACAACTTAAGAACTTCTGTATGGGTTTGACCGAAAATTGGGTGAGAGATAGCTTAGGACCAAGATAAAGACATAGGATACTTTCGATCCAATTTAAAAAGAAAAAAAAAATGGTCAAATCCAAAATTTTCTTATTTATAGTCTTTAAGGAGGAATAGAGATCGACAATCAGATACATATTTCTTGTTCTGAAACTAACGCAGACGAAGTCGCGGGCAAAAACTAGAATATAGATATCCTACAAATATTATAATTGCGAAAGTTTGTGAGTGTGTGTGTATGTTTGTTACTTCTTCACGCTCAAACGACTGGACCGATTTTGATAAAATTTTGTATACAGGAAGCTGACGTCCAGGAATAACACATAGGCTACTTTACGTCATGGAAATCCCGTAACACCGCGGGGCGCAGCTAGTATATAATGTGTGTGTGTTTGTTTCTAGCCGGGTAGCGTGATAGCTCATCAGAACATGCACACAAGAGAGAAGCTCCACGCGTGTGAAACGTGTGGAAAACAGTTCTATACGACTATATCACTGAAACGACACTCTGTGGTAAGTTACGACTACCCACATAAAGTGACTAACAAAATCTTTGTTATCTTTATATATATAAAAATTTCGTGTCACGTGTTTGTCCGCGATGGACTCCTAAACCACTAAACCGATTTTAAATTCGATTTGCATCCCGTGTGCATTTTGATCCAACTTGAAAGATATGATAGCTTACATCTCAATTTATAGTCACAATATTATTTTATTGCAAATTATTTGTCTGTTAAAGAAAATTATTTGTCATTATGACAATTATCTGTTGACTGAGTTAAAATAGTATTCAATAGATGGCGCTATGTTAAAAATACAACCGTCATATATGAGCGACTATTTAATAATAGCATAACCACCACGTGTTTCTGAGGCTAAGGTATAACCTAAATTTGTTTATACGAAGTTCGCCGGGTCAGATGACTAGTGGATAGTTGACCGGGTTAGATGATTTGTTTATACGAAGTTCGCCCGGTCAGATGACTAGATAGTTATAATATATATAATATATAACTTCTAAATTATATTGAAAATGTAATATCCCTATCAATTATTTCAAATTAACTGCTAGAAACAAAGAAATATTACTCACATCTCGTCTGCCTGTCACGGTTGCTGTAAAGTAACCGAAACTTCGGGAGTATGTAGTTTATAATCAAAAATAAAAAATCTCGTAGTAAATTCGAAAATATTAGTTTAATTTAAAGGAAATATTAACTCATTTTATGATTATTTTTATTCTGATTATATTTAATACAAATTGATTTATTTTTTATTTATTTATTTATTTATTTTTCAGACCCACACAGGAGAGAAACCGTTCCCGTGTAGTTTATGTGATAAAAGATTCACACAGAGCAACAGCATGAAACTCCACTATAGAACCTTCCATCTAAAACAACCTTACCCAAAAAGGTACAGCTCTTCATGAAAACCATAGTTTCAAAAGAATTTCTTGATATGTAATATTTATGGCCCTTTATATTACATTTAATTTTTTATTACTAATTCTTGATTTTATAGTAAATTATTCAGATTTATTTCTTCCGAAATCTTTATTAAATATAAATTACATACCTTTTAATGAAATTTATCATTTTTCACTAACCTAACTAATAAATTCTATACTTAATCTGAATTTATAATTTACAGTAGATAAATAATTGTACCCAGTTTTTCTTTGACACCAATAAACGTTAATTATATCATTAATACATAAATTTTATGTTTGATTACAAAAAATCTATATATAGTGCTGTTTAATATATTTTATAGAAATAGAAGAAAAAAGAAGATTAATGACAGTATGGAAGAATCTCATAGTGAGGATTCAAGTGATGTGAAAACTAAGAAAATAGTTCATGAACAAAGAATCGAACCCAGTGCTGTAACTGTACAAGTTATAAGTGAAAACGGACTATTTAACTATTGTGGATAGTTTGAAATCTATTTTTGTTTATAATATGTGTTCAGTATTCGTGTTTATTATAATATACATATTTGTGATATATTCTTGTTTTATTATCCTAAATAATCAATGTTAGTTCAGTTGATACTTGATCTTTTCATTGTGATTGTAAGATATAAACAGGTTATTTATGTAAATTGACAATAATTGGTATGTAGATGAATAAAATTGATATCAATTTGTTTTTTAATTGATTTCATTCACTTAAAACACTAACAGTCTGAGAACAACCAATTTTAAAACACGTAGTAATCAATATAATAATATAAAATTAAAATAATTATGAACATTAGCAACAATATTTGTGAATTTTATTGCACAAGCTTATCGTGCATCTATCGCATGTCGCGTTACTACTGGTCGAGAAGGCAAAAAGTCCATGGCTGTCAACATATCTAGGCTCGACTCATATCAGCTGACTGTGCGAATTTATTCCTTTGTGTAACAGAGGCGTTGTATGTGTGTTTTTGTCATTAAATAAATAAATACTGTGCCTAGATTTTAACCTAAATCTATAAACTAAAAGGTTGCAAATGCAAGTTTTGAAAGGACATCATCTTTTTGGTCCAATTATGAAAGTGCCGGCCAGTAATAAAATATACTGTATTCCGTCAGAACTTGTCCCCTGAGTATTTATTATTATGACACTAAATCTGTTTTTAGAAGGGGTTATTTTGTTTAATTAAATACTATAAAATCATTATTGTCTGGTACAATAATAATGTTCCAATAAATAAGCCGGAGGGGTTATTACTGGCAAATGTCCTGCATGGCTCATGTACCATATAATGCATATAATATGGGATGTTTAATGACACATAATTTAGCAATATGGGAGCAGCATACAATTGTTCGCTTTCTTATGATGCAAGAACAATAATAGTGAGCGATTGCTTGTCGGTCCGATTAAACGATCTATTGATTATAACGTAGACATAACACTGTTTTGCTCTAACATGATTCGATTGCAATCTGCCTCTTATCATCCTTAAATCATTGCTCTGCAACTCCGCTAAGTCTTCACTTAATAAGCCATCGCTGAGCTCAATAATGAATGCTCCATTATCAAGGACGTGCTCACCGTAATAGCTTTTGGCCTGTTTTAGTTGATAAACTCCCAAAGCGAATAAAAATAATTTGTTCTCATCCATTGTTGGAAAATCTACAAACTCTGACATATCTGCAGTCTTTAAATTGAGCACGTCTGCGATTGTAGTTATGGCGTCCTTCAAGATCTGCCAATCTATTTGGCATATTAATTCATTGGTGGATAATCTCTAAAATCACAACAGCATTTGGATTATCTTCAATAAAACATGAAAACGATTTATGATCGCAGCTGCTATCTTAAAAATATAGTTGAATATGCTGGGAAGGGCTCTGTTATTATATACATTTCGAAACGGGCAAAAATCTCTTTTGAACTTGTCGTTGATCATTTCTACCACCCAACGAATTGTTGTAATCAGTCTGGGCTTATTGGCCTGATCCGTGGTTTGCTGTGTCTCATTTGGATATTTAATTTCAGTCATATGTTGTACGTATCTGCAAGATTCCAGATTTCTTGCTGAGACTCTACTAAAGTACGAAATATACACTTTTTCCTTGTTGCTGTTATCCTAGTACTTTCTCGTGGATTCATCAATTGAAACTTTTACTGATGCGTGTTCAGCATACTCTTATGTAATAACAAGCTAAGTTCTTTGAAAATTTACGGAAGTAATTTACATCTTACTTGCATCAATTAAAACAAGAAATAAAGGAAATGATGACTACATTTTGGTTAAACAAAACAAGAAGCTTCAGGAAGTAGTTACGTCTCCTTTACAAATAATTCATGAATCAAATGGGGCTATACAAAGCTGTGTTTGTTAGAGGCTCAATTTGAAGAATTAAGAAAGAAAATATCCCAACTTGAAAATCCAGCTAAGGAGAATAAAAACTACGTAACGATTCTAAAAAAAATGACTTTCAAATTGCGGCTCGACCAATTTACGTTATATTTAAAACTCTAAGCATCTAGGCTTCAAAGTTCATCTGGATACACATGTACTTTTTGAAGAAAAACGCTTTACGCGCTTGACTTGGGAGTAAGCTGGTGAATACGTGATGAAAGCGTTACGAAATGCGTGATCGGGCGAGGCGAACGAAATTAACAGGGAGATATGTTAGTGAAGATAGAGAGTGTTGTTTGTCGTATTGTCTAAAACACACTGATTCAATTTTTTTAATGAAGTATTTTAACTGTTTGATTCAATTCCTTTTTTGGGTTTTTCTTTAAGCATTTAGTATTAAATTGAATGTTATTAGTTGTAATATCGCCAAATTGAAAAATTAACTGTTAGACAAAGATCGATAAATATTTAATAGCTATAGAACTCATATATTTATTTAATCATTTTATTTCATATTCTGTGCTAAATTGACTTTGAGTGGTGTATAGAAGGTATATTATTCTATGCAAAATGAAATACAATAAATTTCATCTTATATTTAATAGACACAATGAAATCTCTCCCAACTCATATATTTATAGCCCGAGGGCCTCACAATTTACATTGCAATAAATTAATTCTTATCATCATCTTTTTTCTTATCAGCTTGGTCCGATCTCCGTCCAAGAAGATCTCTTTTGTCAGTACATTTGTCATTCTGTAATAAAAAATTAGTAGGATTTTTTCAAAATTTTTTCATCAACATAGAGAAATTTAACATATATTTGGCATATTAAAGGCATAAACAAAGATAGTATCAAAAAAACGAATCCTCTTAATAAATATTTCAAAATTATGTCATATAAAGATGTATATATTGATTGTTAACCAGTAAATATAACAAAATATCACACAATTACCCAAATCAAACATATACTAAAAATATTAAGATTTTTAATAAGGGGCCGTTCAAGTATTACGTAAGCAGATTTATTACAATTATTTACCTCCCCATCCCCCTTGTCAGCAAAAGTAAGCAAAGCTCTTACCCCCTCCCTCCATGCTTACGTAAACATTTTCAATTACTGTATTGTTTTTTTTTTAAATATAAATCAATAGCTACCAATGATGTAATCATCATCTAGACTCCCCTACCCCCCATGTCATCCAAAATAATCAAAGCAAAGACCCCCCCGCCCCTCCATAGTGCTTACGTAATACTTTAACGGCCCCTAAGAATAATTATTATGGGGGAAGAAAAAACTCATACATCATCAGATTCATCGCTGGATTCCTCGCTTGATGATGATTCATAGAACCCGAGCCCCGGCAGCACACCAATACATTTCATGGCACCCAATTTGCTTGGGATGTTTGAATTAGTATTTCCATTCTTCAAATCTGGTTGACCACTACAACAATATAATAATTTAATATTATTATGATAAATAAATATCACATTGTGATTGTGAGAGTTTATTTAGTGGTGTATGATAAGACTTCAATACTTATTTTTTAATTCACTTTGAAGTGAGTTACTTGATGTTACTATTACTACTGTTATACTTAAAAGTTAATTTTAAATGCTAAAATATTTTCAGTAAATTTTATTATCTGTACATCCAAGAACAATTGAAGTAAATTTAAATTCAAAATATATATATCGTCAATGTAGTACCTATGGGCGCGGCTGTGGATACCGAATTATATTTATAAAATTGTATATTGTTATTTGTTTAACTTTAAATGAGTTTGTAACACTTTGTGCTACCCTCTTCTAAAATTATTAAATACAGTCGTTAAAAAAGGCGAACATTGTCAGTGAGCATTCATTCTATTAGTTGCACCAAGTGAGATAACATTGTAAGTTGAAACTCTCGAAGTTTGAATATAAATCTGTTACTGTGAAGTCTGTGGTATTATTTCTAAAGCAATCTATAAAGAAAATGGATCCCGATGACAATCCGAAGCACGCTACTCCGACAGCAGCGGTGGGATCCCATTCGCCAATTTTGAGAGGCTCACGGAACCGGAGTCAAAACGACCAGACTTTAACAATACAAGAGGTTATGAGTCTAGTTTCTACAATGGGCAAGCAAGCAGCTTCGGGCGCCGTGACTACTGCTTTAGGTGCCGGCTTATCTTCAGGAACGTTAAGAGGCAATTTCTATCTACCACCCTTCGACCCGGACGTCCGCTCACACGTCATTCAAGACTGGTACGCGGGCGTGGATGAGGTGATTTCTGCCTGCGGTATGTCGCAGCGGGAGGCAAGAGTGGGAGCTGTGCTGCACCTGGAAGGAAGGGCTGAGACCTGGGCTGACGCGTGGTCGCTGCAGTCAGCGTCGTGGCAGCAAGTGAAGGAGGACCCCATTCGAGCCTTTGGGAAGGAAGTTCGCTACGCTGACGACGTCCAGAGGTGGCGCGGCTACACGTCTGAGCGGGCGGACGGTTGCTCCGATCGCGCAACGACGGGCTGGACGCTGTTCGGGCGCGTCAGGCCGGAAGTGAGTGATTGAGAAATTATTGACGCTTTGTTAACAGGTATTTATCGTGACTAAATTAGAAGTGAATTATTAAGGACTATATCCAGTTCTTTACCTGTCTTAGTGTCTGTTTAAAAAATATATATAAACTTATAAAATGAGTAAATATTATAATATCGAAAGTAGCAATAGTAACCAATGTAAAAGAACATGGCCGACAGTTAGCTAGTAAATCGTATGGTAATTGTTATAAATTGTAATGAACCCGGTCATTTTTGCTCGCGATTGTGAAAATAAAAGAACTGTTACATCCGGAGGTCCATTGGCTTTAAATACTGTAAATAATACTAGTAATATAATAAAATATTCTGAATGAAGTTACTGTCTTGAGCGAGGTCATGTTGAAAAAATAAAAATTGCTTCTTTAAACAAAGTGAGTGTTCGAAGTCAAATAATCTAAGTATTGGTTTGTGTATTTCAAGGGATCGTAGTATAACTGATATAAAGATAGGTGGTCGGACTTATTGCGCCTTGGTCGATACTGCTCTTTAATTAGAAATAAACTCGCGGGATCTATTCGAAACAAGTGAAAAATCGTTAGTGTGTCATTTATGGGTATAGGCGGGTGTCCAGTAACAGTAGAACGACGTTTGCATTGAAATAGAAATTTATGCAGTCGGCGATACTCAATCTCAGCTTGACATTTTAACGTTTCGACGATATTAAAACCCCAGGTCTAAGCGTTACTTTTTGTAAAGAGGGTATATCGATAAAACGTAGTTTTATTATAAATGAAAGTGTCACCATTACTAATTCTGATGACTTTAATAAAAATACTGATATTCAAGATCCAATATTATTATCGAAATTAAAAAGAACTCTTGATACCTTTAAACACAGTTTTAGAGTCGGTAGTTAAAACGGGCGAATTAAGCATCAAACTGAAAAATCCAGATAAAATAGTTCAACGTAGACCGTATCGAATGTCATCATTAGAACGTGAAATTGTTAAAAATATTATAAATGACCTAAAAGCTAATAATAATAATAGGTATTATTCGAGATAGCTCTACCCCGTTTAGTAACCCGATCCTTTTAGTTAAGAATAAAAACGGGTCTGACCGTCGCGTCTGTAAGGGATAATTATTCACTACCATTAATCGCGAACCAAATTGATAAATTAGGTAAGGAGCGATTCTTTACGTGTTCAGGTTAGGCGGCCGGTTTTCACGGAATTGTAATCAGAGAACACTTTATTAAGAAAATCGCATTTGTTATCCCAGATGGACAATTTGAGTATTAACGTATGACTTTTGGATTGTGTAATGTACCCGCGGTATACCAGCGTGCTATAAATAAAGCTTTAGGTGACTATAAAGATAAAATAACCCTCGCTTAGGTTGAGGACGTCACGATTACGTCACGGGGTATTGAAGAGGTTATACTTAAATTTAAACTTAGTATTACACAGATTGTCCGATGCGGGTTTTTCAATAAATATTTCCAAATTCTCTTTCCTTAAAACTAGCGTAAGCGTTTTTTTGTATCAGATAAAAACGGTTATTTTCTACCATTTAATTTATCTATAAATATTTCAATTATTGATCATAATTGGCTTCTCATAGAACAAAAGCGTAACCCTTTCTTAAAACAATATTGTTGTCAAATTAAAATCGGATTCAATTCCCCAAACATTAGCGGATACATATGTTATTTTAAAAGATAAATTGTTAAGGCGTAAAAATTCAAATAGACAATAAAACATTGAAACTGATTATAGTACCCCGTTATCATCGTTGGAGTCTTATTTCCCATTATCATGATTCTTTACAACATTTTGCCTGATAAAAGTTTTAGCTAAAATCAGAGAACAATATTGGTTCCCCGATATGTCAAAGTTGGTTAGGAAATTCGTAGAAAATTGCATTAGTTGTCGTGTTAGAAAAGGAATATCAGGCGCTAAGCAAATAAGATTACATCCGATCAATAAAATCAGCATCCCTTTTCATACAATACACGTCGACATTACAGGTCGTATGAACGGTAAACGTAACCAGGCTGAGTATGCGTTTGTGTTTAATGACAGTTTCACTAAATACGCCAATCTCGTATATACAAATGACCGCACGACAGAAACCGCGATAAAAAGTTTACGTAACGTTATCTCAATATTCGATACCCTAGTCGTCCCATATCCGACCAAGACGACAGCATGACCTCCGCGTATTTTAAACTATTTTGTAATAAGAACGGTATAGAACATCATAGCGCCAGGGACGCCAGTAGGGCTAATGGACAGTTAGAACTAATTGTGAAGGTCATTAAAGATTATAATTTGTCAGTAATTGAACTTAATAAGCCGTGGCTTAGTGCGATACAAGAGCTACAATTGGCAATAAATTCCACAATATCAAAAGTACCGGTAAAAGCCCCTTAGAAATATTAATTAGTAAAAAGTGCTCGCCACCGCTTATTAAACTATTACAAGTTGATGATGATGAACCTATAGAAAATTTAAATTGTGTAAAGCTTCTTTATAAAAAAAAAGGATGGCCGAGCGATCTCATCAGGACAAACTAAGGTTCGATAAAAGTAAAGCAAAAAATAATCCATTTAAAGTCGGGGATTTTGTTCTCATGAGTCGTCATGAAAGAAACACTACAAAACTTGGTTCTAAATTTGAACGTGCTATGGAGATTCTAGAAATTGTACTTAACGATCGTTATAAATTGAAACGCCTCAACCTTAAAGGATGTAGTGAAAAGATCGCTAGCCATGACTTTTTTAATGATGATTAGATTATAAAGACGATGAGCATATGTTTTAATTATAAGTGATAAACTACTGTGTATGTGACATATTTTCTTGTTTTAGTATTAATTGGAAAGAACAATTATTGAAAGATTACTTGTACTATACTTGTTTGTTCAAAACGAAATTATGTGAAGAGTATACTTGTTTACCTTGCATAAGGGCAAGACCCCATGATGAGTGAGCCGTATGGGCAAGACCCCATGATGGGTGAGCCGTGAGTTGTGTGTTGGCAAGACCCCGTAATGGGTGAGCCCTGAGTTGTGTGTTGGCAAGACCCCGTAATGGGTGAGCCGTGACTGGGCAAGAACCCGTAATGGGTGAGCCGTGACTGGGCAAGAACCCGTAATGGGTGAGCCGTGACTGGGCAAGAACCCGTAATGGGTGAGCCGTGTGTTGGCAAGAACCCGTAATGGGTGAGCCGTGTGTTGGCAAGAAACCGTAATGGGTGAGCCGTGTGTTGGCAAGAACCCGTAATGGGTGAGCCGTGTGTTGGCAAGACCCCCGTAGTTGGTGAGCCATTTAATTAGTTTGTTCACAGGTACCGGAGGAAAAGCGCGGGGAGCGCGCTGGATCAGAATGGCCGTATGGGCGCGGCTGTGGATACCGAATTATATTTATAAAATTGTATATTGTTATTTGTTTAACTTTAAATGAGTTTGTAACACTTTGTGCTACCCTCTTCTAAAATTATTAAATACAGTCGTTAAAAGGGCGAACATTGTCAGTGAGCATTCATTCTATTAGTTGCACCAAGTGAGATAACATTGTAAGCTGAAACTCTCGAAGTTTGAATATAAATCTGTTACTGTGAAGTCTGTGGTATTATTTCTAAAGCAATCTATAAAGAAAATGGATCCCGATGACAATCCGAAGCACGCTACTCCGACATACCAATACCTCCTAACTGACAATTTAGTCCAAAAGTATTTTTTTATTACAATAGACATAAAACTCATATTTGCATAGACTTCAATCCTATTCAACATTTCTTTACCAAACAGTTTCTTGAGTGATGTGAAAATATCTACTAAGTGGCAGAATTCATTAATTCATATAGATTTTAAGGAAATATCTTCTAACTGCAGCAATAAATTATATTCAGAACCATCTTTTCGCTCAATGGCTGATCTATATAACACATACAAAAAGTATTGTTCAGAAACCGAAGAGCCTACCATTTGAAAAAGCATTTAACGAGAAAAATTTGTCCTAAGTAACTTAATTTGTCTCCTAAGTAACTAAATACCTATGAAATGTAAACATGAACATATCCATTCGTAACTTATAAAAAGGTAATGCATTAGAAACTATTTTACTATCAATAGTTGATCAAAATAAATATTTTTTCTAAACAGTTTTTTCTTCTGGTGTAAAATTAGATTCTCGACACTTAGGAGGTATTGGTACTTCATTGACGATATATATTTACGTTGTTATATATATATATATATATATATATATGAACCTTTGATTGTGGCTAACAACTCCATTCTTTGTCGGTGGACCGCTGTCTTCAACCTCACTCGCTTTCCGTTTCCTTACAACCACCTAAAGAAATCATATGTTATATATTAACAGTTTAGAAAAATTTTCTTAAAAGACATTACAAATATCATATGACATGCATATTCATTTATTAGTATGAGAAATATTTCCAAGATATTGAAATGAAGAGAATTAAACAAATTACAAAGTGTATAACATAGTACAACAAAGTCAAAGAATTTACGATTGAGAGCAATTTTGGAAGTACGGAATTAATATGATATAAGTGATTACCCCTTCAAGTTTGTTTCTGTTGTGTTGTGTGGGTGGAGCCTTAGTTGGGGCGAGTTGTGCCCTAAGACGACTCAATTCTTCACTTTCTGCCAGGCTTGATACTCTTTCTCTGAAAATAATAGATGTTTTATTAATTTTTTCCACCCATATTCATTTAATTTTTTTTCCCCTTCCTATTTTGTTTCACCAATATTTTTTTTCTTTAGCCATTGTCATTTACATAGTTTTATTTTTATTTAAACCAGTTATCCAATTATTACTATACAATAATCTATACTATATCTAATAATGATATATATGTTTATAATAAAAGTAAATAGAAAATATAGAATGAAATATATATAGATACTAAGCATTTGAACTTGTTATCTCTGATACATTATAAGTCATTTGTTTTAACAATTGAGCCACTGTGCCAAGAATACAGTCAATTATCAGTATTCTATGTCTAGACCTAATTCAGTAATCTATGTTAAACTCTCACATATAATGTCATGTTTTAAAAAATAAAAAAGGTGTGTTCATTGTCTGCCCATAATCACGGTTGCTGTGAAGAAACCAAAACATTGGGACTGTGTAGTTATAAAATTATAACAAATGCATAGTGATATTGAAATCCATACTTTCATTTAAAGATATTTAAGGTTGATAAAGAAATAGTGTGAGAAAAAAATCTACATATATATCTAATAATTCCATCTTACAGATATTTAAAGCAATATATATTATAGTACCTGAATTCCTTCATTTCTTTCTGTTCTTCAATGCTGATCTGCTGTGCGACCTCGGCTTTAGTTCTTTCAACCAGGTCTAAGAAACCTACTTCATCATCATCTAAACCCCTTATCATATTCTCTGAAAATTTTATGAATATTCTTTCACATAGGTTGACAAAAATGTTGCTTGAATACTTTTTAAAACATTTTTTGTTTAAAACATTTTTTAACTCATACAATTTAAAATAATATACATAAAATTAATGTACTGTGTTATATTTTTAAAACATATGTATCGTTGACTGGATTTAATGACGTTTTAATGGTCGATACAAACATATTTAAATAAAATTTCAACTTTTATAACAACTAAACATTATTTTCCAAACTTCCACTCACTAAGTTTGTGTGCTTCTTCATATTCAGCCTCTTTCTTCATTCGCTGTTCCTCAAGCCGTTGGTATAAGGGCCGGGTGTCGTACGCTTCCTCAGGCGCCTCTTTAAAACAAAAGGATCTACGTTAATCCTAACGTAATTACCTATAGATTAAAAGACGGCCATTGTTAAAATGAAAATGTGCTTCAAGGATTTAATACTGGATAAATTCTTAAATGTTATAATAATAATATATATCTTTGTGTAGCCTTTTTGTAAAATCATAATGAATTTAACCTTTCGGTTGATCTTCCGTTCGAACTTTTTCCCATTCTTCTTGACGCCGGCGTCTCGCCTCTAATATTTCTGATTCTGATATGAAACCTGAGCTCATTGTACGTTTATTTTATTTATTGTACTGTTTAAACTTATTCGTTTACAACTTGTACACTTGATAAAAAACAATATCTGAAGAATGTTTTATCCAGATTTGTCAAATTTATTTGTCACTATCTTAAAGTCAATAACGACCTTGATAACAGTTGTATTGTGTTACAACATTAAATATGTCCTAATAACATTACCATCCTAGTATATTTCTAATTTACTTAATATGTTCAATATAATACATATTATATATTTTAAGATATACAAATCCTTTAGACAAATGTAATTTTTACATATATTTTGCATAAAGAACTATTATTATAATTTATTTTATTTTTGTTACGAATAATTTTTTCTTAAATATTTAGGATTACATAAGTAATTTATAGTAATTTACGTAATTTTCAAATTATATCAGAATAACAAAATCAATTATTTAGCTATTTGATAGATAACTTTAGTTTGTACTGTCATAAGTCACAACTTGAATGACAGTCGACTTCTATGCAAGATGCAATGACAAATTCACTCAAAACTGTTTTGAATACAACCATACCCTTAGCGGCTTTTTAATTAATACATATTAATTAATCTATATTTACATTATTTATATAACAGATTTTTTTTAATATACCTCTCAAGCTTAACTCTAAGATATTACTCAAAAATGTCTGATACAGAGATCGTACAAAATAAATCTGAAGAAGCTTCGAATGATTTCGTAGAAGATGGAAGTAACAAATTGGTTGTAAAATGTAAATTTTGTGGTTCGAAAATATTAGAAAAGAAAACTGGAAAATTTGTAGTACAAGAGGTATATACTTATTAACATATTTGCAACTTGGCGATTTTATAATAGGTTATTTTCACGAGTCAATAAATTTCTATATAATTTGTAATATATATTTAATTATTTGAATATAATAATAATATAATCTATTGTAATATTTTCAGATGAATCTACCTCTAATGCATCAAGATACAAGAAAAGAGGGTGAATTACAATCAGAAAAAATAACTGAATTTTATCATGTAGAGAACATGTATACATTTGAGAATATAGGATTCACTCTGACTGTCGATAATTACAAGTACCTGAGCTGTGCCGATTGTGATGCAGGGCCGGTCGGTTATTATGATATGAACACAAAACATAGTTATGTAGCATTATCTAGAGTAGAACATGCTTAAATCTAGAAGAAAATAGAATATTATATTGTCAGAGATAGTGGAAATTCGAGTAACTACCATTGGATAATTCCGAGTATCTACATTGGAAGCAGATCAGAAGAAAGTTTGTGCTGAAATATTTTCTATATTAAATACTTTTAATGTAATTTTGTTCACAATTAGTAATTATTTAGTCTTTAATTTATTACTAATTGAGAAAAAATTAACTTAAAATTCATTAATTTATATAATATTTCAGCTTTAACTTTCTTCTGATAATCTGCTTCCAATGTAGATATGTGGAATCATCCAATGCTGGTTATGCAGATTTGCATTGTCCGTGACAATATATTCTACAACTTTATATACATCTTCAAAATATTTGAATTGCTATAATATACATGAAAAATTGTTTTATACACAATGCATATGTATAATATTTGACATCATACAATCTGTATAATTGTGGTAATAATTATGTATACATGTATTAACTTGTTGAAGGATAGGAATTGATATTTTTTTATGCATATGCTTAATTTTGTCGAATAAAAAGGTCATATATTTTAATAGATCTTACGGTCTGATATTTTAAGGTCTTGGCCTTTAAACATGTTTTATATATAAAAAAGTTTTATTTTTGCTCATTCTATTCATTCCAAATGGATGTTAAGAAAAACATATTTGATACTTAAATATTTATTTTATGCAGTTCTGTAAGATATATTTTAAGTTTTATTTTTAATGATGAACTGGTTATGAATTGTGCTTTTTATAAGCTTCAATAAATTATAGTATAATTTTCTCTTAGATAAGTTTAAAATTGACTTAAAAGAGATTGTATACTACTTTTATATGAATAAATATTTTTTAACAAATCGCATTTATAATTTATTAATATTAAATAAGTCACTATCAAAGGGGCCTCACTCCCAAAGAGGGTTGATGTGAGGCAGGCAGCCGGTCGTAAAAACAAATAGCCAAAACTATTTACAACATGTAAAGCAGACCCTGGCTAAAGCTGGGAAATTGCCAGGAAGAAGAAGATTCAATATGTCGCTCTTTGTACTTATTATAATTTAAACGTTCCTAAAATATATAGTTTATTTAATTATATACTAATTTATATATTCTATTAGGTAATTTATATATGTTAATTATGAATTTTTTCTTATTTTAAATGGTTTTATGAAATGTTTCTATATTATCGGCAAATATGTATGGTTTCCGTGGTGTAGCGGTTATCACATCTGCCTAACACGCAGAAGGTCCCCGGTTCGATCCCGGGCGGAAACATATTTTTGCCACAATATATTTTTTTTTAAATTTTTTTTTGGTTAATATGTAATTCATATTATTAGTGTTCATATTATATCAAAAGACAAATAGTATTTGTAGTCTTACAATTCAGCGCCTGCAATATTTTAAAGGCAATTTATATTTAGTACATATTATGTAAAAATTTGTAATTAATTTTATTCAAGTTGAGCACTTAGCCACTATTCATAATTGTTTTCATAATAGCAACAATTATAAAATTTGTTAGGATATATTTTCTGAGTATTAAAAATTTCTATTAGTTTCATATTGTAAGTTTTTTCTTTGATACTATAATAAGTATATTAATAAAAGAAATAAAACGTTTTTGTATCTAAGTCGTGACTCGTGACATCTCAATATACGATGGCTATCTGTGCATCTCTATTTACCGGTAACCAATAATTTGAGGTCATCTGTCAGTTATCGCGACTTTTTCGTACACAACACTTATTGTAACTCGCTTCCTATTATGCAAGAAGACTTTCAACCAGTGAAAACCTACCAGTTTGTTTTCTTAATACAGAATAGTAAACAAAAACTTGTGATTACCAAAGAACAAGTTACTTATTAAATGTAACTTTTGAAGTAATTAATGGGTTCAAATAAGAATGAATTAATGAAAAAATAACCTTAAATTTAGATTTTTTCGTAATTTTGTAAGTCCTAATAAACGACCCACGCGACTCTTCATATTATTTATGTAATAATAACACTTGTATAATAACGATTTCGTTCACGCAATGATGTGTGAATTGCAACAATGGCTTGTAGCTAGACGTTTTATAGCTGGCAAAATAGCTTGCAGCACGTTTCGTACGAAATTAACAGCTTTAAAAACAAAAGTTTAGCGACGCAAGCCGATCTGGAATTAGCGTCTGTTTGTTAATAGCAAAACAATGCAACATCGGTTATCAAGATGTAAAACTGAAAAAACAGAATGATATATAAACAAAGAGGTTTTATTGAGTCATTCAAGAAAAAATATAACGCTATTATTATGCAAATTATTTGTCAAAATATGAGTTCTAAAAGTTCCTTGTCATTTCTATTCTAGATCAAATTGAATGATTATTGTAATCCAGGTAAAATCAATTAAGGAACGTCTTCTTAATTTTTTTTATTATAACCTCGTTTTGTTACGTCAATGTTTTATGAATTTTAAATTATATAACATGTAAGCATTATTTAAATATTCTTTTGTATTCACATTTTACATTTAACTGTCTCTCAATGCATTCCGGTCAAGAGCGGAATTAATTTCTAAGGTGTTCCGTATAAATGAATTAATACAATAAAAAATATAAAAATGGTATAAAAACTATTAAAATAATGACATAGGCTTTATATTTCGTTCCAAAACATTTTGGCTGAATGAGTCGGATCGTTTTAAGTATTTCTTTGATATACAACCTCATTATTGAATGAAGGAACTCTAATAATTTAAAATAATGCAAATTATTCCGCCGGCCGTATAATATGATCACTCAAAATTGTTACTAACAAAGTTTAGAATGTACAGTATTCGGTTAATTTCTCTTCTTTTATGTACAGTTAATTAAAAATATTAACATATTATATGTTTATAATTTAATTTCTAATAACAGCTTATATTTGACTTAATACGTCTGTGCAGGACCAATTTCGTTTTTCTCGAACTTTGTTCTAAGCATTTCAATGCTAGCGTAATTCTCATAGACTGTATAATATATTATATTTATCTTAAAGACTATTTCTTTCTCGTGAGTAACTTAAGACCACTTATAAAATTAAATCAAATATCTGAAGTATCGTTACCCTAAAAAAATAGTACACTACGTACATGAAATTAGTGATGTACCTATTTACGATATTTTTAAGATTTTTGTTAGACTTACATATAGATCATTCGTTTTTTTAAATATGGATGAATGGTCGAAAGTATGTACTGGAAAAGTAACGTACTTATATATTTTTATCTAGATTGTAAATAATAATAATTAATATAGCCGATAAGAAGACAGCAATATATAGACTTATAAAGAATCTGGTTGCGAATGGAAGCTGTAAGAATAAAATATTCTAGTATATGTTTAATATTATACATACTGAACAGAATATTAAAATAAAAAAAAAAAAAAACATAAAAAAATCACATACCTACGTAATATTAGATATAACAGAATAAAAATGCAATATTTTTTTAATTTCACGTTCATACAAGTAATAATACACCTATTAATTGATATTCATTTCAAACCGGCCAATTCAATTTCGTTCATATTGCAATGAATTTAATTTTATCTGTGCATTCATTGAACTACGTTTTATGAAACAGTTCGTTTTCAAAAAATATTTTTTATCTGTTGTAACTGACGTATTTTTTTTCTTTAATCAGTATTTAAAATATATAAATTTCGTATAAAATACTTTTAAAATACACGACATATTTCTATATACACTTGTTTCTTTGCGAAATATTCACTAAGTTTATATTCAACCTTATAGAGGCCATCAATCTTATAATAATGTTGACTTGTCATTCGCCGCCATTATTTATGTCATCTGTTTAATTTTTATATAGATGTACATATTTGTACAAAATGGTCGAATTATTTTCGAATTCTATGAAGTAATCATATGGTAATGGTTATTGAATGAATTCGAATTATTTTATAGTAGTTTAATACGTTAAGGCTCATAAATTATTTTCACACTTCAAATAGAAACGTCTTCTTTCTTTTATATATATATTTCTTTATTATTTATGTTATCTTTTTACCATAAGAATAATCGGGTCCAAGGTATGTCTGAATGAAAGTACATATTTCTGAATTTGGAGCGAAAAATAATTTGAAACCTCGTATGATATGACGTGATATTGGCTGTATATTTCCATACAGCATATCGTAATTATCAAAAAGTTTGTTATAATGTTGAATATAAAATATTGAAGTATGTACATTAATTTAATATTATCATACTCTTCTTTAGGATTATAGCTGGTTTCATACTCAAATGTGATTTTAAAAGATATTCGTAAAAGGATATAGATTGTAATTATTTATTTTTTATTTAGGAAGTCATAAAGTATGGCCTAAAATATGTTTTTTTGCTGATAATAATATGTTTTAAAATATCATACAAGTATTATTATTAACAATGTATAATTTAAGAACTAGTAACAATATTGTAATGACCGATATGTTTGATATAACTTTACAATGGACACGCAAAAATTATGTTAATGCTAATAAGTTGAAGAGATTGAATGAAAGGATAATATATTTATGTATAAACAAAAATTATTTATATAAAAAATTAATAAATTGTTGAATTTATATATGGCAGCACTTTGATTTAACTGTCTATAAAGACAATTGAAAAGTGACGTATATAACTATTTTATTAAGAAATATATGATTTATGGCAATTAAATTAAATTTACGTAAAGAAAATAAATCTGTGTTTACTTATAAAGCTTGGTTATATGCAGAATAATTTTATGAAGTACCTACTCATCTTAACTTTTACAGACTTATTCATGTTTGCTACTTGATCGTCTGTCGATATTTCGAACTAATATTTCATAAGCATATCATGCAACGTGACCTTTCGACTTTCAGTCTCAATACATTCTGTACAAGCACTACATTACAACATCTGATGCGCATTTAATTTATATATTGGATGTACAATCACATCATGACTCACAAAAGATACAA